CTCATGGATGTGCAGCAGGAGATTACCTAATTAAATTCTGTCCATCCATCAGTGTGTAATGCCTCTGCTCGGCTGATACTCCTCTGTCAGGGTTTTGGCTGGGATAGAGTTAATGTTCCTCTTAGTAGCTGGCACAATGCTATGTTTTGGATTCAGTATGACAATAAATTGATAACACAACAATTGTTGATTATTGCTAAGTAGCATTTACCCCAAGTCAAGGACTTTTCGGTGTCCATACTGTAGAATGTCATGCTCAGTATATAAATTGGTGTTGTCTCTGTGGGGCCCATTGCTGCTCAGGGATGGACTGGGAATTGGTCATTGGTGATGAGGGATTGTATTGTGTTGTGCAATTGCTTATTTTTCTTTTTTTTTCTTTTTTTTTTGTTTTGTTTTGTTTTGTTTGTTTTTTGTTGTTTTTTTTTAAACCAAGAGGAGTTGAGTTTGTGGGATGGGTGAAGGGTTGTTACTTTGTTTTTCAGTATTGTCTTTCTTCCAATCCAACACCATGGAAGTCACACTATAGAAAGGACAGAAGAGAAATTTCAGGTTCTCAAGTCTCTTGGGCTACAGAAGCTTTTAGCAGTATGATGTGACATCTTGACATCTCAAGCCAGGTGTGTTTGTGGTTCTAGAGGACAGAGAAAGGTATTTAGTATACCTGAACATATGCAGACTAAGGTCTCCCCATGCTTGCATTGCTTCACTCTGTATTCTAGATACTGTAGAGCTGTTGCCACACAAAATTTCAGATTAATTTGTTTTTAATTCACTGTTCAGAGAGGATGAAGTTCTGCACCTGTTCTTAATGATTTATTATATGTCAAATTTTCTTCAGAGATGTATAAACATAATGGAAAAAATGTTCTGATCTCTGCTGATGAGAGAAATCTATTTTAAAAAGATACTAACTGAATTTCCAAATGTACATCAGTAACAATATATATTGGGAAAGTTGTGGATCACTTCCAAGTGTTTTGTTAGGGTGCTACTCCCTCCCTCTGTGTTCAGATACTTGATCCTGCAGCAGTAAATGCCTCCTATCAGATCTAAAGAAATAAAACACCTTCTCGAAGACACTAATTAGCATTCTTTTTTATTGCAGTTAATTAAGATGATAGTATTTGCGTTACTGTTGATTCATAATTTATATGAAAAAGTCAGATTTACTTCTACAATATCTTGCTCTCAGAATTTGTTTATATTGCCTAGAACCAAGTATTGTACTTGCATTCATATTTTTACAATGAACCAAGATTAGAAATAGGTTTAAAATGATACATATAATACTCCGCAAGTTGATGCCATCTTAAAGGCTTTATAATTTTGAAATGCATTCAAAATTTGCAGAAGAATAAAATTACTATGTACAAATAAGCCTGTCTTTAAAATTGGAACGGTTTATTGTTACTTTGTTTTGTAAAGGTAGGGACAGAATTTAACACAGATCATGGTGGTTGTCCTGGTTCTGGCCATTTACTGTGCACCTACTGGAATTACCTCAGCTAAACTATTTCAGGAATGTCTTTTCAAGATATCCCACAGTTGTCTTGACTTTGAGAAAGCTGAGGCACAGGGACTGTAAGCAGGAACAAGCGTTGTTGTCATCTACTTTGATTTTCTTTGTATTGCTGTATTTATTTGTATTGCGATTAAAGGCTGAGCCAAAGCGACTTCTTTCAACAGCAGTAAAAGTCACTGGATCTGTCTCATAAAAGGTCCAAACCTCTGAAGGAAGAATTCAGTGCTGCCCTATTAACTACATCTAAGTATGCTCAACCCTGAGCACTGTTACAGTAGTGTCTTCAGATGTGACCTCTTCTAGGATCTGCAACGATGTTCAGTACTGTCTGTCATACTTAGCAGTTTGTGGTCACTGAAGTTGTTGGAAGGGAGTAAAAGTGCTCTTAGTATGTGGAAAAAAAGGTGTGTGTTTTGTCAAGAAATACAGTGAGAGTGTAGCATGGTTGATTGCAATCAAGTTGGACAGATGACTACCTGACCTAGAGGGAAAAGGATGTGTGTATTTCCTATGAACTCAGTATTTTCTGAAGTATAAATATTCAACTACAATGCTGCATGCTGGAATATTTTTATTTTCTTCTTGCTTATAAGCAGATGTACTTCCTCTTCCAAGAGAAGCTTTCGTCAGATGCCAGAATTTATGCACGGGAGCTAGAGATGAATGGAGCTAGTGGATTACTGGAGCTGCTGTAAATTTGCAGCTGACAGCCTATGCTGTGCTATGGCACATGTGATGTGGAAGATCAGTGATGTGCACAGGGATAGTTTGGAGGAGAACTCAATTAATTAACAAGGAAAATTCTTTATTCAGTTGTCCAGCACCGCATAATTTTTGTTCATCTATGAAGGTGGGGGAAACCCCCTCTGGGCAGAAGACCATAAACTGGGCCTCTTTTGGCTGCGCGCTGAGAGGCGACAGGCGGGGGAGATGTACACCGCCCCCGTTCAGGCTGAGGCTTTAACTTTGCCGGCGCCCCTTTTTGAGGGAGAGGCCTTGCCCCGGGGTGTGTCGCGGCGCGGGTGCCCCGCGGGTGCAGCGGGCGGGCCGCCCCCGGCCGTGCCGCGCCGGGGCGCTGCGAGGGCCGCCCGGAGCTCCCACATGCGCGGGGCGCGGGGCCCTGGCCAGCCGGGCAGCTACGGCAGCGGTCGGGGGCTGCTCGTCGTGGGGTGAGTGCGGGGCCAGGGGCTGCGGGCCGTGGCGGCGGGAGCGCTGGCGCGGCGTAGGCGGACGGCGTGATTGTTCTGTACCGTCACCATTTAATGTCCGCAACTGCAGAGCCTTCGGCGACGGCTGGGAGTAGTCGGGAGCTGCGGCAACTCCTGGTGGTTGCTTGCCAGCGCAGGGGAAGTGATGCTGTGGATGTGCTGGGAGGGGTTTTTCCTTTCGTCTTATATTATTGCAATAATTTCCTGGCACAGCTTCTAATGGCATGTGATCCAAGGAATCAGGAGACGTAGCACTACAACATGCAGTGGATCAATGTGGCAGAAACACTATTTTGCTCCATCTCGCATCAAGACAAGAGGGAACAGCCTCAAGTTGCGCCGGGAGGGTTTAGATTGGATTCTGGGAAAAAATTCTTCCCTGAAAGGGTGATCAGACATTGGAACAGGCAGCTCAGGGACGTGGTGGAATCCCTGGAAGGGTTCAAAAAACATGTAGATGAGGCACTTAGAAACAGTTTAGTGGTGGACCCGGCTGTGTTAAGCAAATGTTTGGACTCGCT